GAATAAGCAGCTAAAGCATGGGAAGGGGCCATATGGGACTGATGTGGAAGCCATTTAATTAAGCTAGGAAATATCAATTTTAGAAATCCATATAGTCATTACATGATCACAAAAGATACAGATAACTTTAATGAAGGTGAATATATGTGTCCGGGATAATGTTGCAGGATCTAATCTGGGTCAGTCACCAGGACCAGACGGTTAGCCTTCCAAGCTTTCAGACTTGTGTTGGAGCCCATCCTCCATCTTTATCTCCATCTAGTGATCATCTGGAGTTTTGCAGCTCAGATTTGGCATCCTTAAGCAAAGATTTAAAATTTTATTCATTTCAAAAATATATGTTCTCCATTCCAACCTTCACAACAAAAGTAAGTAATCTGAGAGCCATGAGCCGCATGTAAAATCTTAAATATATTTTTTTCAAACTCCAAATGCTTCCAAATTTTAGATTCAAATGGTTTTTTTTTACCTTTTCCAGTACCTCCCCCCACGATTCAACTTTGTGCAAAATTTTGAAATGAGGTGGAAGACAAAAAATGAGAGAGAAGGAGAGAGAGTGCTTTTTCAGATAGGCTGTGTACAGTCAGAAACTGAGTAAGGAGGCTAGGAGAAAAACATCATAACCATTTCAGCCCAGCCTCCACCATGAAATGACTGCCCAATCCACTGCAGCACCACTTCTCTGAAAACTAGTAATGTGAATAAGGTACCTGATTGAAGTGGCCTTACTTGCTTCAGGAAGAAAACGGTACTGTTTTTGTTAAGTGAAGTACCATAGCTGTTCCTTAGGCTGTTTCAATTAAACCTTTCTTGAAGGACTTGTCTGCTAAAACTTGCCTACATGACTGATTGCCACTGATCATAGTCCATTGTAGAACCAATGTGAAATTGGAAAGTTTAGTAAATTTTCACATCTTATTAAGGAGGAACTTCATTAGTGCACTGTGCATAAGGACTGTAACAGAAAGATAAGTTTCTCTTATATTACACAAGTTGTGTGTTATGGTCTGACTGAAATGTACTGCATTACATTCTGCGTTATGACTAAACTGTGGGGGGGGGGAGGGAGTCAAATCCCAGGATTTATACAACTCCCTGCTACCTTTAGTTGGAAGGCTGTTTACCAAAGTCTAGACTGCTGACATTTCAAAGTTTTTCTTTGCACATGCTTCTTGAAAGAGTCAATATCTGAGCACTAGCAGCTATTTTGAACCTTATAAACCTATTGGCCATTAAGGCAACTGATGTATTGACAGCTTGGCAGAAGACTGCTCCTTGGTCTCTTTCTCTTGCACAGGAGTTATTTTCTTGCCTCTCTGTAGCAGGTATCATATTGATTAGACTGATACTCTCAAGGCTGTCATAGTTTCCAGGTCCTCCCAAAAGGAAGGTTGATAAGTCAGGCTTTCCTATCCTAGTAAATTGCTAAGGAAATATTTTCTTTTCAGCAGAGAACTTTTTTTATAAATATAATTCTTCTAATTTTGATGCATTTTTTTTCTGTCCCTACTTATGCTTTATTATTATGTAAAGTTCCCTTCCCTAACACTCTCTTGCGTTTTTATTTTTTATTTTATTTTTCTACTGTTGCCACAGGGGAAATGCTTAAAGATTTTCCTGCTTGTGCCCTAGACCTCTTCTCTTCTGGTACTTTTGGAATCAGGCCCAGCAACATCCAATTAGCATTCAGCATCTTATACTTTGGCCACCTTGGGCTTCCATGGGTAGCTTAAGAGCTCCTTACACAGTTCTACTGTGCTACTGCATTTTGCTTCAGATGCAAAGCAGGAATATCCTCTGTCCTGATTCATACCTAGCTTTCAGTGACAACTATGTATTTAGTGACTCAAGATCCCTGATTATGAAACGGAGGATAATCATTTTCGATTACCTTTTCTTCTCATCCATTTCCTTCCAGAGTACAGAGGTCTGAAATATATTTTCATAGATTTCTGCAAAGAGCCACTGTGGAGCTATGATCTTTAATCGTAGCCTCAATTTGTTACCATAATATAGATAATATCTTTAAAGAAAAAAGTTAAATGTCAGGGGAGATAATAATACCCTTCTGAGCTTTGTGTTTTCTATGGACTCTTTATCAACCAAAACAGAATGGGAAAGAAACTGGTGGAAAATTATAGTGCATTAAAATAATCGGCTGTTACATTGATATTTCAGATTAAATTAATTATCTTCAGATTAATTGGGGTTTTTTTTGCTGATTACTAAAAAATAAAAGGGTAGGTCTATTTGAAATACATCTGAACTAATTATCAAGAAAGAAAGCATTCAAGAAATGCAAGGTAATATAAGCCTGTAAGACAGTACTGTAATGGTGTACAGGACAGAATTATGCCACTAATATAATGGCAAGTTTACCTGCAATATCATTACTAAGCTAATATAAGTAGAGAGACTTCTACGTTCATAGGGATTCTTTGCCTTTTTAAATATGTAAAGTCTGCTCTGTGGACATTGCCTTATTATATCTTCCAGTAATTTTTCTCTTCTTACCTACAATACTCCGATAGTAGTGTTCACACATATCATATATTTCCCCATGTATGTGTGAATATATGTTTATGTGTATACACACATGGACACATACATCATTGAAAAGCCAATTCCAACTTTTGATTGTAAAAGCCTCAAAGCTAAGAACCGTTTCTCTCCATTTTTTAAAAGAAATCTTGTCTTCACGCCAAAACAAGGCAGGAAATCTATTGACCTTTCAAAGTTTCTGCAGAGGACCCTTTTTGGTCTGAAGCTACAAGTAAAAGTCCTTTTATTGATAACCAAATGTTCATCTATACAGTCTAAGTTATAGGGATAATGCTAGCCAATTACTCTATTAGTTATGTTGTAGAAGGAACCAATGTTTTCAAAGTACCAGTATGTTAAATATAAGATTTATGACTGTAATTATGCCATGAAAAAGACTTGCCTGCTAAATATTGTGATTTCTTGAAAAACTGGTAATTCTTCCACTATATCAAAAATAATGTTAGACAAAAATAAAGTTCATTTTTATTTCTGTGGCGAATCTTTTTGGTATTAGCAGATTTGCAGTAAGATATGGCTATATTGCTTGATATTTGAGTTTATTAATATTGAGTAAAGTGTATACAAATATGCACATGCATTTCACAGGAAGGAGGTTTATCTATTAAAGAATGTTTTCCTCAATGAAATCACCCAGAATTTGTGGATCACTGTTGCTAATGGCATAGTTATTCTCTATTGGGAAGAGATGACATGTCTCATGATTTATTTTCATCTATTTTTTCACACCTTCCAAAATGAAAACACAAACGCAATGATTTGAGCTAGGGGTTTTTTTTGGGGGGGGGAGATGTAAGAAGCAATGTGTATGTGTACCAATTAGTGGGTGGAGCTTTTCCATACATAAGTTTACCAATTAAATATTTACTGACTTTTGACCTTTTAAATCTTGAATTAAGAAACTTAATACCACTGGCTATACATATATCTGTATCTATTATATCTATATATAGATTGCTAAATTATATATTTACTTATTATACTTATATATATTTATTGCACTATTATATACTTATTGCACTATACTTATTACACTATTATGACAGAGCATATCGTTACTGGTGTTTAGATGCTAATACATAGCTAATAAATTAACTACAGTTTGTTAGTATGGATTAACCAGCCAAATTCCAAGCAGAAAGCTTCACAATATAATAGTTTCTGGATCATTTATTTGAGACAGAGAATATATGCAGATGTTTGATAGCCACCAGCATATATTTATTGTCTCATGTAATGTTATTTACAAGTAATTTCACCCAACAAATCTGTGAAACAGTTTATCATTAATTAGGTCTCCATAGATCATCTGTGTTTAGTAACATTCATGTCAGATTATAATTTTATTGCAGGGTTAGATTTGTGCGCCTATCGGGAAAGAAAACCAGGGTGGAAATGTTTTCACTAAAGAGTCTGTATTTACAGAGGTGGAGAAATACAGTTATTTTGAGAAATAGATTATTATTATTATTTTTTTTGCAATTGTTTTGCTATATATGGCCATGGAGAGATTGTTATTCATACAAATATGTGATGTACACAGCAATCCTGCCTCTCTGAAATTTTGTACTATTTATTTTTATAAGTTCTGTTCAACTGATGCTTCTCTAATAATAAAAAGCTCTTTGATCCTATAGAAAATTCTATTAATAGAATAAGGAGGAATACAATTAGAATTAGAATAGTTTATTGATTGATTAGTCTTGTGACCTTATCAATAAAGCACATAATCTGGTTCCAGGATAAAATATATAGAAAATATTTCTGTGATAATACAATGAGCGCAATCAGATAAGTGAATCTCCCTTGTAGGATACTCCAATTGGTTTGATGTAAAGGGTTCTTAGCTCAACTTTTGTAATTAAAGAAGGAAAGTGTTTTTCAGTTATTCTTGTCTGCATGCCCTCCGTGGAATCCAGTTCATTTAAGATAAGTGGGAGAACTTTAAAAGCAGAATTGGGAATGATACATACTATAAGGGACAGTGTTTAGTTTGACTAATTCTTTCTGGATCAAAAACTTATCCACACTTTAATACCAATCAGAAGCAACATTTTACTTGCTTTTTAAGCAATATTATTTTGCTGCATAACTCGGACACTGAAGTGTTCACATGACATTGTTTTCAATATATATGGTTCTCTTCCCTGTTCTACATCAGGGATATACAATATGCCCAGTGAAGAAATAAGGACATGTAGAATTAGTGAACAAAAATTAAAATATAATGGTTCTCCTTTACTTATTATATTATACTAATTATTATATAATTATATGGAAGAGTTTGCTAAATAAACAAAGAACCACATGCTAACCTGCAAAATAAAACACTCAGAAATCATTGGATAATGTGATTTTTTTTCCTGTGCTTTTCTGTTCTTTTGTTTTTGACTTACAATACATGACTGCTTCCATCATTTTTCCCCCCTTTCCAAAAGGCAAGTATGCCATGCGGGACCTGGTTCACCGGCTTCCAGGAGGTAACAACAGTAACAGTTCAGCAAGCAAAACCATGTCTGATGATACCGTAACTGCCATTTGCTGCACCTTGCATGAAGTCATCACAAAAAATATGGAAAATGCCAAGGCCTTACGAGATGCAGGAGGAATTGAGAAACTTGTTGGCATTTCCAAAAGTAAAGGAGACAAGTACGTTTTGCCAATCATCGTCTGCCTTTTGGCTGTAATTTATAGTCAACACTAATGATTTTCCTGGAGTCTTATCGTTTCTATTGCATGTTAGAAAACTTCACAGATAATGGCAGATGGATGGAAGATAATAAGCAATCTCACATCAAACTGTGTGGCACTTGTAGTCTTAATTTGGATCTGTGGCATTATATTGATTTATCAAAAGAAACTTGCCGTTTAATTTTTAGCTATTCTGGTCAGCAATCCAGCAATCTGATAATTGCAGCTGCTATTCAAAATAACAGATTTGTTCAAGAAAATGTTTAAAAAGTACTCCATTCCCAATATATTTAGGCTACTGTCTGTGATGGTCAAAAAAAGAGTGGAATACATCAAGTGTAGAAGCAAATATCCAGAGTAAATAATATTTACATAATGCTGAGAGGTTGCAGTGATAACTAAACTTATTAATACTGCCAGGTAGAATGCTCAAAAAAGAAAAATAAGCCAGGTAGGATGCTCGAAAAATAAAAATAAATCCCAAGAACTTTGGGCTCACATCCTACCCAGAGGAAAAGCAAAGCACTGTTGTTAATTTGATAGCTGTAATCTGTCTTTTGTTGAGTCTCATCTTCCAGAACCTTTCTTTTACATTCTGCCTTCCCAAATCCTTTTGTGTATTCAAGTAAAAACTTATGGTAAACTTATTGAAAAGCTGCATGCGTATAAAATTCTAAATCAAGATTTATTTCAACCATAGTTTGTTGAACAAGTCAGACTCTGTTGCAAATGAATGAAGTTGCTAGTTCATTCTTGGCTTGTTTTGCCTCTTTCTTATCCAAGTACAAATAAACAAGACTATATTAAGATGTTGGATTCTGACATAAGTATAAGGCACAGTTAAAACAAATGAGTATTCATAAAATGACAATATGGTATTTCTCAGGTTCAAGTATCACACTAATTGAAAAACAAACCACATTATGATTAGGGTTAGGGCTAATAACCACATTAGGATTAGGATTAGGGCTAATGGTTTCATCCTTTCTCTCTTAATCTGTAATAAATTTGATTTTCAAAAAAAAGTTCTGTTCTGTTTTCCAAAGCATATAACAACTACCTTCACCTCAGCAACTTTAAGATGTATGGACTTCAATTCCCAGAATTCCCCAACCAATCATACTGCTGCAGCTTGCTGGGGAATTCTGGGAGATGAAGTCCACAGAACTTAAAAGTTGCTGAAGTTGAGAAACACTGTCATATAATATTGATTGAACCAATGAGTGCTTTTCAGTTTCTCATATGTGTCATTTTTTTAAATTCCCTAATAGGCACTCACCAAAAGTAGTGAAGGCAGCATCTCAGGTCTTAAATAGCATGTGGCAATACAGAGATCTGAGAAGTCTATACAAAAAGGTAAGACTTATTTTTCATGTTATCTATTACATGAAGATTTCTTGGCTAGGAACTTTATAATGAAAATTAGTAATGAATCTAACATTTAAAAAGCCCTGAAAATGTTACTACCTCTTCCAGTCTTTACCCCTAATTTCAGTCTGCCATATGTGGATACAGTAATGGTACCAGATTTTATAGGCAAATGTCCTAATTTGATTTTAAAATGGATTTTTTTTGTAAAACCTGAAGCCTTGTCCTTATGAAATTCAAAGATAAATTATAAAAAAAGGCAAGTTAAGTTTAAATATATGATATGGTTAGGATCATTATCTTATTTAAAAAAAAAAAGAACAATGAATTTTCATTTTGCGTAGTAGAGCATAAGCATATCTTACAAAAATTTGGTATAACCAATAAACTGACCAGAGACATGGCTGCTATTAAGGATCTTTCAGAAATAATCTTAAATATATCCTAAATGGCATTCTAATTGGGATCTATGCTTTTTAATATAACTTCTAAAATATAATTTATATGGATGGCAATAATTTTTTTACACAGTGCCGATAGAACCAAAGTGATCCTTGTTAGCTACTTCATGGAACTGAATGACCCACAGCAATTTTAGAATCTACTCTCTATCGTTTGATCTAAGTTTGGGCTCTGTTTTAAAAATCTGAACCATTGGTATTTTTTTTTCTTCCCATCTATTTTACTATGGGACACTGTAAGGAAAGCAATGAAGAACTATGTCCATTGCTTTGCTAATAGATTGCTTTTTAGAGCTTCGGGTTGGCTAAAAGAGAAATAAGTTAGTTTTCATAGTTTTTATTAATGTAAGTTATTCTAGAGTATCTCCAATGTGAGTTAAGACAAGTTTGCCCATCTCTAAAAATTCTACAGTAGTGTATGATAAGATTCAAAATCATTTTTCTTCTTTAATAGCATTTGTGTAATGTTGTTGCCAATAAATAAAAAGAAAATCTTTACTGAAAGATTGATCTTGTTCTTGAAGGCAACAATGATTTCATTCTTGTATTCCATTCTTGTATTTTTAAATGTTCAATTATAACCAGAATAATTACATTATTCTGCAAATATACACTGTTTCAAATGCACAAACTGGGGATTTCCTAAAATCTTTTAACAAAAAGATTTATATTAATTAATTAATTTAATTAATCAGTGCCACATTTGTCTCATATACACATCAGCATTGAAGAATAAGCTTGTTTCATTTTAACTATATTAGGGCATGTTTTCACAAGAAAACTTCAAACTATGCAAGAAAAAAAGATGTAGATCCTAAATATTATAGATGGGAGAGCCACATTGGAGAGTGGAGAGAGAAATAGCAAATAGAGTTTCCATTTCCCCTTTTAAGCATGTACATCAGCCAATGAAATTTTATGTGCAAAAAGAATCTCTAAATTGTTTGAGTAGCAAAATGGCACTTGAGATTCAGTGAAAATAAGTGCAAACTGCTAACCTCATATGTTCATTCATAAGATATCAATTAGCTGTAATACCTAAGTGTAAAATCTTAGAGGACATAACTCACTGGGATGGATCAAGTGCTGCCCCTTTGCTGACAATAGAAAGACATCTTTATGCCATAAAGGAAGATTCAATATTAGGTGCTTTTAGATTTTAAGTAAGATAGCATATATCACAACAGTATACATCTGCTTTAGAAATCGATACAATACACCCTGTAAAATATTGGCCCTTCCTTTATAAAAAAAAGATTAGTTGATAGTGTACAAAAAGAAAGAACCCAAAGGTTTGCCTTTTTGATGAAGAATTATAAGATTGTCGCCTATATGGTGAAGAAATGAGTAAATTGCTTTTCCTTTATATAGCAAGAATAGAAAACAAAAACAGGTAAATATATTTAGGCAAAATGTAAAATTTAGCAATATATAATGTTTTGAATTCAATGCTGCAAAAGTGGATGGCTACTAAATGGATTTAACTTGATTGATAGTTTTGATAGTTACACTGAAGTTTCAAGTTTAGAAATAACACAGTTCTAATTATAAAATGCTGGGAATAAAAATGCAGAAGGCTGTCTATGCTCCATCCATGGTCATCTGATTGGCTGCTGTTTAAAGCAGAATACCAGAATATTGTTGTTGACTTGTTATCTAAATTTAAATAAAGAGCTTTTTATGTTTTTATATCTTGAATTGGCTTCTCAAAACTTCTCTGTCTCACACACATACACACTGCATCATCTATGTGAGCAAGCAACTCAGTGAGATTTATTTTCATTATATGATCCTTTTGTCTCTTGATCCTTAAAGTTCAATAAATAAAGAAGTTACTCTGTTCTTCAATGATTTTCCCATAAGTGAGACTGAAGAAGAAAAATGTGCAAAAGTTGTTACTGGCATGTTCAGTTGTGAAGAAGACAAATACCAAGTTGGTTGAGGCAGTCTGGTTCCTCAGCTTCTGTGCAGAGAACAGTAGAAATAATTTCAATTGTAGGGTTGACTGGATATCATTTATTCATGACTGACATGTCATTAATTATTGTCATCTTTGACTAAGTTAGCAATATTTTAGTAGTAAAAAGTTTTTAAAGCGTTTGCATTGAACATTTCTCATTTCAACATTCACTTCACATTTGATATAGTTGAACAGGAACATTCATATTATTTTAATGGCGTTCAGGGATCTTTGGTTCTCCTGACTGCTAATTCTGTGCACCATTGTCCTTTCATTTTCCTTACCTTCCCATTCCCTTCTGTTCACTATACATATTTCAACTTAGCCATAAAATGCTCCTCCCTCTTAAAAAGTGTGCAGTCTCATTTTGAATTATGTGCAGCTTCAATGTAGTTTTTGAACAAATTTGAATATAGAGTATGCTTTGTAATAAGCCAGCCTGAATGTTATCAAAGCCTTATATAACAATAATTAAGTCCACATTCTCTAGAAGCACTAGCTGGGATATCCTCTTGAAACCAAGATGAAGAAACGGGTGTAGAATCAACTTCAGACTGTGAAAGTGATCCTTTAGAACAAATGCTGTTTAGAACAAACAGTTTAGTGTAGCTATAAATATGAAGGTCAGTCTGATTGCTCAAAAATGTCATCTTCCTTGTATTTTGACTAAACATAAGTTTGCTCACCATCTGTGACAGGGTAAGCAACGATGAGTACTTCATCTCAATTTTAGTCCTTTTACTAAAATCTATTAAATGAAGAATATTTGTAATGCAAAGTGAAGTGTCAGCCTCTGATATAATTTAGAAAAACTTTGGGCCCTACAGAGACCTCAGAAATTGAAAACAGAAATTCATGGTATGTCTGGAACTAAGCCCATCTGCTCAGGATAAAAAATGTAAGTCAGGGTGACAGACAGTACCCTGGCAACTGGAGAGAGCAAGGATCAAATTTAATAGTTTTCTTTGTGTCACCCTAACATGAAAAGACAAGGTTCCTAACCCCAATTATCAACCACCCAGTCACTGGGAATTGGCAGCATATAAATTTAATAATTATTATCAGATAATTTCCTTCTCAGAGTAATGTAATTTGCTGCCAAAATGTGAAGACCACAAGTCTCCCTCAAAGTTACCTTCCCTGATTTAGTCCATCACTGACGCCAAACATTCACAGCTATCATTATTTCACCTGCTTCTCCTGAAAAAAAGAAAGAAGCAATTGCCTAGTGCAAGAATCATGCCTACTGAAGAAATGCATGGAGGGGGAAAAGCTGAATATAATTCTGTGGCATAAGGACAGCCACTAAATCATCACTGTGCACTTGTATAAAGAGAATAATGTGCAATTATTAATTTTAAAGTTTTTGTTTTGCTTTGAATATAGTCTTTGTTGGGAACAGTTTGCACTGCATTTTCTCTGCTTTGGAACCAGTCTGAATCAGTAATTATCAATGTAATCTATTTCTAATTATAATTTAAATGGTTACAGTTGTAAAAAATGTAGCCTAGTTCCCATATTTCTATATTTCTGTTTGAAAAAAGAAATCTCACTGGAATACATGATTGATTGACTGACTGATTGATTTATGGCAGCGGGTGGCCCCAGACTTCAGAGTGGCTGAGGACAGAGGATTTTCACCTACCCATCATTCTGAGTCATGGCACGCTCAGCATTCCCTCTCCCAGAACCAAGAAACCAGAATCTATTCCCAGACCCAGGTATTCTGGCTGTCAGCTGATGAGTTTTGATTTGTGATTTTTTTTTCTTTAATTCTTATTTATTCTAAAATTTATATGCCACCAACATGCCTTATTTAAATGTGTCACATTAAATATTGGCACATTTAAAACAATAAATAGAATTGAATGCATTCCTAGATTAGCACTGCAACAGCAATAAAGAGTTACTTAAACATTGATATAAATCAAAATACAATTACAGAAAGCAATGCGTAGAATACATGTTAATATCACTTGCAGCGTCAATTAAATCTTCATGTCACTTGTATGAGCAGTGAATTATTTTCCTTAGTGACTGTGGAAATGAAGTTAATATGATAATATAAAGCAATGCAAAAGACTAGTATGCTTAGTTTGTTCAGTCCCTTTTTTCTATGTAATCCTTCTCCATTATATGATAGAACTGATATATTTCTGTAATCAGCCATTTGCTCAATACTAGATTGTTTTTTAGCAGGGGGGAAAAATCAAAACATAGCAATATTCTTTATTTTTCTTAATTTTTTTATTTGATAAAGGGTATGAATACAAAATTTATTTGACTTTTCTCTTTTGAAGCATTCAAGGTCATATGAAAAATAAAACAGAATTACAATCCTGCTAAGAAATATTACTGTTGCACTTAGCATCTTGGTTTGAATGTTGTATTAGTTACTGCCTTTCTGTTTTACCTCCTGGCTATATGCTATTCTGATATTTTTTACACAGAATTATATTATGAAAATAATATAAACATGGCACTTTAAATTGTCTGAAATGCATTACAGAAATATTATTAATTTTATTACAATACTGGTAGTCCTCGATTTACGACCACAATTGAGTCCAAAATTTATGTTATTAAGTGAGTTTTGGCCCATTTTATGACCTTACTTATCACAGTTGTTAAGTGAAACATTGCAGTTGTTAAGTTAGTAACACGGTTGTTAAATGAATCTGGCTTCACCATTGACTTTGCTCGTCAGAAGATCACAAAATGTGATTATGACCCCAGGACACTGCAGCTGTCATAAATCTGATCTGGTTCGGTTGCTAAGGATCCAAATTTTGATCATGTGATCATGGAGCTGCTGCAACGTTCATAAGTGTGAAAAACGGTCATAGATCACTTTTTTCAGTGCTGTTGTAACTTTGAACTTTTGTAAAACGAAGACTTCCTTTATTTAATCCAATCATTCCCCAAAGTTTCCTCTATGTACATGTTTAATGTTTGCTGCCATCTTTAATAACTGTCCTAGATGTCACACTGCCCACAGAAATCAGATGGCAGGTAGGCAGACAGGCAGGCAGACACATTGATAGATTGATTTAATCAAACATACCGTATTTTTCAGAGTATATGATGTACCTTTTTCCCCCAAAAAAGAGGGTGAAAATCTGGGTGCGTCTTATACTCCGAATGTAGCCCCACCCAGCTTCTCAAATTGAGGTTTCAGAGGCTGAAAAAAGCATCAGAAAAGAAGCTTCAGAAAAGAAGCCCCCAAACAGAGCTTTAGAAAAGAAGCCCCCAAACAGAGCTTCAGAGGCTTTTTTTCTGAAGCTGTTTCGGAGGCTTTCGGAGGCAGGAAAAAAAGTTTTTTCTGAGAGTTTCAGAAGTTTCAGAGGCAAAAAAAAAAAAGCAAAAAAAAAAAAAAAAAGCAAGGCACAGAGCTCACAACCAATGAACTTGTTGCTAAAATTCACCTCTGGGAACAGCTGATTGGGGATATTCCAGGAGGCCGATCCACCTGTCAATCAGCTTTTTTCTTATTTTCCTCCCCAAAAACTTAGGTGCATCTTATACTCCGAAAAATACTGTACTAGTTTACAACTGGCATGGCATAGCTACTAGTAGACCCATTCCAGGTTTGTGAAAGCTATGCAACTTGTTGCCTACTCACAGGTTACCTCAAATGGATTGTCCTCGATCTCTTGTGCTTTTAAGAAAGAATTTGGTACTAAACCTCTTCCTGGCAGTTGCCTTCCAGCATTTTTAAACTATTCAGGAGCCTTCTTTAAACAGATGTCAGCTGCTCCTTTTTCTAGCACCAGCAAAATGTTCTTTCTATGCAGTTTCATAGAGATACAGTAAGATATAAATATTAAATTCCTATCCATTGGCAGGTTAAAAAAGAAATATCCTAATGTAGGATTAATTGTAGATGGAAGAAGAATGGAATAGATATGCTGTATGCATAGTTATTCTTAATGAATAAAAGCTAAACTTTAAATCAAGTAGATCAGTTTACATCATTTAAGATGTTTTAAAATATGGAGATTATTGCACCAAGATAATACAATTTATACGTATTTTGATCTAGCAAAAGTACAATATGTGCCTGGGACAGCCTTTTCAACTACTATCACAAACAGCTTATACAGATTCCAGGACATCAGCTACATGCAATTTTTCTGAGTTTTCAGGAAAACTAGTTCCTCACTCTGGGGGAGACACTGCCATCAGCAAAAGTAACCATAATCAACTTTGGAGTTTTTATGGTGATAGCCCTCAACTTTGGAGTTTAATGTGCTATGAAATGCTTGTTTCCTTCTTTCACTTTTGGTTGTATCTTTGAAATGGTATATAATTTAATTAATTTTAATTTATTCAATTTGTTTCCCGCCCTATATATAAATAAGCTCCATATAAATGGAGCTTATTTCTCTATGCCTGTTGGTTGATGGCTGGTTGGTCAGAATGCCAGGCTTCCAGGTATTTCCTAATACTGGTGGGTTTGGCTTGGCTTAAAATGTCACTTTTTTTCCAGTTGAATTTGTGGTTGAATTTCTTGAAAATTAAAAGTGGTGGTGGTGGTAATTTTAGTTGTTGTTGCATTTTTGTTTTGATGGCCCCAAAGTTCTTAAAATAATTGCTGAAAAATCAGGAATCATCATGTCCAATGCTGTAAAGGAAAAGAATAATATAAAATCTAAAATAAGGTTAATATGTATTTTAAAATTATAATAGGATGCTTAAATATTACATTGAAATATATTTAATAACTCCTTCGCTAAACAGGAAAAAAGTGAAAATATAATCCCTGTTCATGTTATTGACATGCCAGTGCATATATCTAACCCTATCCCTTTATAAGAAATAAAAGTGATGATTTCTGATTCTAAACCCTAATTCAAATATACTGGTAATATGAAATAGATTATCAGGTTCCAAAAGACAGCAATTATCATGCCCCTAAAGAATCTTCCCCAAATGAGGAGGACCAGGATGAAGAACCCGGAGAAAGCTGAATCCCAAGCAGTCATTGTGGGGGAACATTAGAACCATTGCTCCTGGCAGTTGACTTGCCTATGAGATGAAAGCCCATCTATTTGGTCCATGGAAATCACTGGGAGCTAGAAAACCAGTAGGTTAAATAAAGAGCCTGATGCATAGAAAAGTCTGTTACAGACAGAATAGCCCAGAGCTGCAGATCAGACCAGTTCAGAATTGTGTGCACCTATTTAAAGATTTATCCAAATGCCATTCAGACCTGGAATAAGCCCTGTATCTAATCCCTATCTCAAAGCCTTCTCAGAAACCTCAACTTTGTCATGACACTATGTACTTGTTACTTGGACTGTTTCTACTAGTGAAATCAGACTGAAGAGGACTCAGCCAAGGGTGTAAAAGAGAGGGAGAAATGATATGGGAAGACAAAGACTGCTTCACAGAAAGTGAAGCATAAAAATCACCTGACATTCACTATTACATTTGGACTGTTTTGGAGTGGTACTGCACAGCAACAAAATTCTAAACTGACAACTTCTTTATCTTGAGATTTGCCTCCTTGGCATTCGGAAAGGGTAGGAACTATATTTAATTTGTTCATTTGCCACAGATTGCTAGAATCCAATCAGAATGGCATATGTGCAGCCTCAAACTCAAATGCGTCTCAGGCATCTAGCTAAATATCTTATTAAAGAAAATAAATTGGCTTTTTTGAGAAAAAGAACCAGTTGAAAATATATCTTCCCTTTGTAATTGATAGTTGATATTGTTTTATGATATGATATGTTTTATGTGATTTTGCTAATAATGTATGTTGATAGACTTTATTATTTTAATTCACGTTTGTGTATTTGAGTGAAGATAGGGTACTGATTTTTAAGTAAAAGAATACTGGATTAGGAGTTTGCTTGAGATTTTTTCTTTCCTTCTTATCTGGTTGTAAGAGAGGAAGCTTGGAAGCAGCATTCCCATGTCTCCAGACAAGTAATTTGTGATGTCGAAACTGTTAGCACCAGCCATCTGTCCTGCTGTATATTGCCAAAATCTTGTAATGTTTTACCTACCACCAAAAGATCTCCCCACCCCATCCTGGGTTCATTCACTTAAGGAATTCTTCTTTTGAGGAAACACATCCAGAGCAGTTTTTCCATGTTCTTCGCATGGCAAAGTACAATAAATAAAATGTTCATCATTTAATACACGCCAGATTATGTTTTGGTTATTAAATAATAGGGATTTTATTCAAATGTTATTAAAATCAGACAGATTTTGCAGTTATTAAATATATGTTGAAACACTATTAAAGAAGCTATATTAAAAAAATCAAAATTTCTTATAAAGCAATAGAGATAATTGATTAAAGCAGATATATTCCAAATTGCAAGTATAAGAATCTGTACAAATGTTGACAATCGGTGAACCTACATCAGATGTTTTAAGCACTAGCCAAAAAAAAAAAAAAAAGCCCAATAGCATATAAAATAAGAATTGTGTGCAAAGGAGGGGGGGCACAGTGGCCTAGAAATGAAGATGCTTGCCTCTCATTTGGAAGGTTGAGAGTTCAATCCTACGTAGCAGCAGATATTTCTCTCTCAAGAGAAAATGTCTGCTGTGAACTCCCCATAGGTGTCAGGAAGAGCATCTGGTCAGTAAACACTCAGCTCAATTCAGTCGCCCCAACTCTACCCCAAATTAAGGGATTACGGGATTGTAAAAAAAAAAATAGAGAGGAAGAAAAACAGAGAGAGAAGAATACACTCACACATGTCTT